TATCTTATGTGGTAGACTTGAGAAGTAAATGAAATAAGGCAGCTCAAGCGTTTCACCGACAGCCTGGCACTCAGTACACAGTAACTGCCCACTATGATTATCAATCTTAACAATAAATTGATACATACGGTGTATACCGTAATGGCTATACACACTTCATAATTTTTCTTTTGCAAAAATAGTACATAAGAAGAGACCCATACTGGTAGTTTTTGCTGGAAAAGTTAATACAGAACAGATTCTATATCAGTTAGGACTTGATATAGCTGCAAATTATAGAAAAATCTAAAGAACATTGCATTAGACACACAAGGCTTATTGTCTCCCATAAAAGAAGTGTAGAGACAGGCAATGCAGCTTCAAGAAGTTATTCAGCGCCAAGCGCTGTCTGCCTTCCTGCCCCACCATCTCTAGAGCATGGTGTCCAACTTCACAGTAACCTAAGGGCCCAGTATGGCTGCGGGAGCTCCAAACATCACACCTGTATTACAGAGAGCGGGAAGGAGAGAGACTAGAAGGAGAGAAAAGGCACAGCTTTGTTTTAAGGAGTCTTCCTGGGAATCTCATATAATGCTTCCGTCTACATATCACTGGCCAGACTTTGGTCACGGGGCTTACTTTACTAGGCGCCAGACAGGCTGGGAGCTGTGGTGTTTCCCCTGGTTTTACTCCCATCCTACTTAGAATACTGTTACTAAGAAAGAAGGAAAAGGGATTTTGGGATGGCAGCTGGCAGTCTGCAGCCTCTGCCAGAGGCCACAGTTGGTGCCAACGGAGGTTTTTGAGCAGCTGTGTCCCTCCGATTCGAGGTCTGGGGAAACGAAGACTCGGCGACCTCTGTTTATGGGCTTGAAGGATTGGAGTGGGAGGTTTATTTTTTAAAGGATTCCACTGCCCCAAGTAACTCTGCAGCCCACCATCAGGCAGGAAGACCAACGGCAGTCCCTGCAAAAGAAGGCTGAAGGCAGGGACACTGCGGAGGGCATGGGGGACTGTCGTGGAGTATGAGACACAGGGGGGCGTGCAGTGACAAAAAGCTCCCCACGTGCCTGTCCCTGAGGCCACCCAGACAAGCGACCAGCTTGGCTGGTCCCACAACGAGTGGAAGACGCGCAGGGAAGGGCTGAAACCCGTCTCCCTGTACAGGTGGCTGTGCCCGTGTTCGTGTCGCATCAGCACTCACATTCTGCTTATACTGATCTAACCGCATGGGGGCGATTGATTGTCTTAATCAATGATCCCATTGACCTTTCCAGTCTTATCGGCCAAGCATATGGCTGGCTTTTCTGAGGGAGTTCTGTGTTCAAACCTCCTGTCCCAGTGGCTGTGGCTTCACTGGGACTTTTAGGCTTGTCAGATCATGTGTTCTGACCGCGGTGCTTGACGCTCTGCCAAGGGACTGATGGCCCCTTGTCCCGGGTTCTGCAGACCTAGTGTGTCCGTGGACATTGGAGTAATGTTTGTCGACAGGAATTGCTCCTAATCATGGATGGAGCTGAGTTTCAAAACGCCCACTGCCCTTACTCTCAAAGTCCCCTCGGAGTCTGGGGGGTAGATCACCCCATAATGAGGTCAGGAGTACTTCTTCAGTGGCTGAATTCCTCGGAGGAGCCCACATGGGCCGCTGGCTGCTGAAGTCCATTCCCAAGGGAACAAGGCTCCGAGGCGGCAGGAGAGGGAGCCCTGCAGGGAGCTCTGGGGAGAGGGTCGCCCCTCATCCCGGGTGGGGCTCCGGCTGCTTGGGCCTGGAGCCCTGCTTCTCCCGCCCCCTCGAGGTGCCTCTTCAGCCCCGAGAGCACCGCCTCCCTCCCATTCAGGGCCCTGCCCCTGTGATGGGGGCCATCGCCAGGGCCTCCCATACAGACCCTGCTTTTTGTGTCCCCTCCTCCTTGCGGCGCCCACTCCCTGGAAGTCTTGGGAGAAGCTCCTTTTCTGACCTCTGCCCCAGAAGCCCCCAAAGCTCCCTGCTCTCAGTCACCACCTGACTGCTTCCTGCCCTGGCCTCTGCAGGGGCGCCCCACTGGCAGTCAGGGTCAGGCTGTTACAGCCCAGCCTCCAGGAGCAGCTGTCCCTGCGGCCCCGGGGGCACTTCTGTGTGTGTGTCCTCACAGCAGCACCGTGAGAGGCCGGGCAGCTCGGGAGCCCGCTCCCAGGCCTGCGGGAGCCCCGGTCGGCGTTACTCTGGACACTGCATTGCACACTCTGACTAAGGCAGCTTTGAAACCCACGGGGCTCAGAAGTCAAGGTCTGCCTGTGTTTGGGGAACACTGTGTTGTAAGGAAGATGAAACGCTAACACGGGGCCAGGGGAGGTCCGTGTTCCGCGCACACCAGGCACCCGCAGTGCAATTCGGAAGGCTTTGTGGTATAAAGCAGGGCTCTGCCTCAGAACCACCTGAGAAGCTTATTAAAAATGTGGAATCTTGGGTCTCACGCTAGGACACTCTGGCTAGAAGGACGGGTGTGGAGACAGACCTCTGCGTTTCTGACCAGTCCTCAGGTGGCCCTGAGGCAGCTGCTGTGCCGCAGACATGGAGAGAACAACCTTGCCCGAGCAGCTGCACGCCCGCTGCCTGGTGTTCCGCAGGGCACGGGCCCCAAATGCTGGTGCAGCCGGGGCTTGCAGACTGCACCTGGCCGTCAGCGAGGGCTGGGAAAGCTGGAGACCTCGGAGAAGCCAAACTTTTAACCTAATTTAAGCCCCCCCAGGGCCCGAGGCCGCTGTCTGCAGGACAGAATCAACCCAAAGGAGTGAACCAAAACACGGAGGAGGCCGGGAGGTTTCTTAGGGCAGTTGACGAAGATGCAGATTAGAGGTCTCTGTAAGGTGGGAGAGAGATGGGTGGAAAAGAGCTTCTTGTGTGTTTGACTTGGAGGTGACGCCCTGCTAGACCCACCTGCAGGCCGCCCTGTTTTATTCAGGTTATAGATGTAAAAATACTGCCCTTGCAGGATTGTGGTGAGGATTTGAGATGCCCTCTTTAAAATGACTGTCAAGGAGTTAATGCTTAAAAAAAATGGTGGCCATTACTGGATGACCAGTAGTTACTGAGGGCCTACTGTGCGCCACACGCTGTGCTGGGCACTGAGGATGCAGAGGTAAACGAGGGGCTCCCAACTAAGTGGGCCACTTAACTTTACAGTAAGTATGTGCTCTGGAAGAGTCTTAGGTGTGGCTTAGACTGTACTGCATCGAAGAGAAGTCCACGAGTATTAGAACCACGTATTTAAGAACCTGGCCAGAGTCAAGGGGTATCTGAGCTGGAAAGGGTCTTAAAGAACATCGATTTCATTTTCCCTTTTTGACTGCTGAGGAGCTGAGGCCTGCAGAGGGGAAGGACTTAGGACTGTTGGTAAGTTCCTACTGTTTGATTAAGTGGTTAAAGATGTCATTATTGAGAGGCTATCTCTAGAAATGACTACAACATAGACCTTCATAGGTAAGAGCACGAAGCATAAAATGGCAGTGCTGAAATTTACCTAAGGCTTCTCTGGTTCCGATTGCTTATTTTACTATGAGGAACCTGGAGATATATTTCATTCGGTCTCCTGCTGAGTCCCAGCCCGCAGGCCAACGCACCTGAGCGACACCGGGTGAGGGGACGGGTAAATGATACTACAGCAGTCTTCAGCTTTTCCTTTCTAGAACAGTATTGATAAACTGCTGCTCAAGTCTATTTCCTTTCGTCTCTTGACTGATTGGTTTTACTTGGGCAGGTTGCCACAAGTTAACCGGAATAAAGGTGGAAAATGTATAAACAAAACATCTATCTGTACATATATCTGTATATATGTAAGATAGGATGCATTTGGATGCAAAGTGACATACTACCTAATGATGGCTTAAGCAATAGGTATATATTTATTCCCAGAAGGCTGGAGATAGAGGAGTCGGGTTTGCTGTGTCGCCTCAATCTTCCACCAGAGACCCAGGCTTTTAAAAATCTTCCTGCAATGCCGTTCTCAGCATGTTGGCTTTTTGTCCCTCGGCTGACGAGCCTGACGTGGTTGTCTCAACTCTCAGCATCATGCTTTACACACTCACCCTCAAGAAAGGAAAAAATGCAGCGGACTAGCTGGCTATCTCTGTGCATCACGGAGCAAAATCCTTCCCAGACACCCCAGTGGAATTTTGCCAGTTCTCACAGCTAGATCTGTGTCCCACATCCACCAGGCCCCACAGAGAGAGAGAGGAGATTGTTCTGTGCGGCTCAGACCAGTAATAATTCACCTCGTAGGCCTGAAGGAGGGTCCCTATTTCTTTGAGATGTTGCTTCCCAAACAATGTGAAGCTCTACAAACTAAAGAGGAGGCAGGAAATGCTACTGGGAAGGGAAAAATGTGTGCTACCTTATAGGTGAGACGTATAGAACCTGAACTTCTCTTTGGAGCAATGTAAGAATACATTCTAGGTAAGGTTAGTAATTAAGCACATGGGCTTTAGAGTCAGACATTCTATGTTTGAATCTTGGCACCAGCATATATTAGCTATTGCTCAGTTTTCTCATACATAAACTGGGGATAGTAATAACACATACCTCATAGTTTTGGGGGGATTATTTGCAAATTGAAAGCTGGGGATACTGTGTAATCATAGAGTACATGGAGCAGGGTCGAGCACATGGTAAGCACTCAATAAACGTCAGCTGCTTATTTTGGAACCATTGGCGCTGTACATTTAAATTCTGTTTGTCTTCATTTAAGTCAAAATTCTGTAAGAACCTTCCCTAGTCCCTAACCCTGTGGCTGTGCTTTTCTAAATATAAACGGTATCTGGTATAGATGGGTCCCCCCCTCGGGGTTATCTCTTGCTTAGCCCAAGAAGTATAGGCAGAATTTTGCTGATGCTTCGTTCTAATTCTCAGACTGCTCTAGAGTGAATCTTATTTGGAAAGCTAACTCAGACCCAGGAGCCATTTATTTGATCTCAAATTGGATGTTTGCCTCTTGGGTCCAAATGAAAACAATAGTACAATTTACCATATCTGCTTTCCATTCCAGCTCCCGGTGAACGGGCTTGGCAGGCCCCACATCTCCCAGGAAGCGGGGCACACAGCTTGCTGGCCTTCTTTCCCGTGCCCACAGAACTCAGCTGATCGGGAGCACGTAGAAATTTTCACAAGACTATCACTGCCTCAACTCAGTCTACGATAGTGCTGGGAGGGCGTACTGGACTGCAGTACCCCCTCTAGAGGGGTAAGTGTGTCTGAGGGAGGTGGGGCTGGTCAGCAGGACAGGCATCACTGTGGCTCTTCTTTACAAGATGCCAGGCACATGGATCTTTCCAAGGCCTTTTGCCCACGGTGCTTGGACAAGCTTTAGAATAACAGTTGTCTGAACTTCACTGCTACCTTTGTACTTTTTTCCTGAGCATGGAACTCTCCCTGAGAGTTCTAAAAACAAGACATCCCCAGTGTAGGAACTGATGGTGCAAAGCAGGTACTGCCCACACAGGGCGCTTCAGGTGGTAACTGGCAAATCTGCCTGCCCAGCGTGGGGGTGACGGGAAGCTTGTCTCCCTCCATATGCACATTCCATGTAGGACTCTTGAGTCCTACGTCAGCTGTTTTTGCAGACCTTGAGGAAGGTCACAGAGCTGGCACATGTGGGTGAGGGCTGACCATCCTGGAGCTGAAGGAAGCCCAGCGTGCCAGCGGGTGGCTGGGCCTTGTCCCACGAGGACACTTCCCCACCCAGCTGTTAATGCTGGGAAGGAACGAAAGCACCGTACTGTGGGCATATCCAGTTTTTCAAGAGAAAAAATGGTGAACAATAAAAAATATTTTTAACATCTAGAGAAACTGTTTGGACTTAGCTGAAATCTGCTGGGTTCTATTTGTGGACAACGGATTCTGAGGGATCTGAAGAGGACTGTGGGGTTCAGGGGGGCCCACATGCCTCCTGACCAGCTCATATCTGTGGGTGCCTTTGTCTGTCCCGGTCACACTTGAGCTTCTGGAGGCGTTGTGCTCAGCTTGAGGAACTGATGTTAAATGCTGTCCAGTCCTTCTGGAGGAAGGCAAGTATAACTTGTGAATTACAGATTGAGAAGTTAGATGCTCTCCTGTTTGTTTCTCACTGGCAAGCATTCACATGTTCCGTCTTGCATATGGAACACTAACTGGAGATGTGAGAGGGGAGCAGTCAGTGCAAACCTGCTTGAATCAAGATTCAAGCTTACGGTCAAGCAGGCTTGGGTTTGAGTTCTGATTCCTCTATTTTCTGGAGGTTTGACCTCAAGCAAATTATTTACCCTCTCTGAGCCCCCCTCGCCTCATCGATCACCTCTTTCCTACGGCTCTTTTAAATGAGATAATACATACAAGGGCAGGATGCCTGGCCCAGGGGGAGGTTTGGTAGTGGTGACTATTGCTAGGTGCCCAGATCCACACTTCTGAAATACTGAACTCATTTATGGCAGAACCTAACCTGAACCCATAAGAACTGATTGTATCACACTTAGTGTGAATATTCGTGTCACTGAACAAATCTTTATGCATTTGATTATGGGTGCTACTTTAGAATCTCTGTTATCGTTCTCAGATCGGAAAAGTTCTAAATGCCACAGCACATCCATAGCTTTTGGCTAAAGTATAAAGAATCTGTAGTCTCAGCAACATATGGACAAGTGGAGGAGGCCACAATCAAAGCTGAACACATAACCATGTAACTGCTGGGGGTAAGCACTCTATTTATTATGTTTCACAGACAATTCATTTTTTACACATTGAAGGTTTGTGGCAACCCTGCACTGAGCAAGCCTACTGGCACCACTTTTGTGAAAGCATTTGCTCACTTTGTGTCTCTGTCACATTTTGGTAATTCTCACAAGATTTCGAATGTGTTCATTATTGTGCTTATTATGGTGAGCTGTGATCAGCGATTCAGACTCACTGAAAGCACAGGTTATGGTTAGCATTTTTTAGCAATGAAATATTTTAAAATTAAGTATGCAAAGCATTATTATAGACATATTGTCATTACACACTTAACAGACTATAGGACAGTGTCATTAAAAAAATTCAACCGAGTAAATTTGAAGATCTAATTGGCTTTAAGTGATTCATTAATCAGGAGCCATCCCATCTGGCAAGCAGAGAGATGCTCTGAGGAGTTGTACAGAATGGAAGCTTTTATGGGGGGTGGGCAGGCAAGAAGTTATTAGCAAGATAAAAGAAAGGATTGGTTCAGGGCAGGTCACCTTTCTCCAGGGAAGGCAAGACAAGTTCTCACTCATGCAGGTTCTCTCAGTACTGCTGATCAGGAAATTTCAGGTTAACTGAAAGCTCACATTCCTGGGATAAACGGAAACTGTAGTTAAGTCTTGGTTTGCTGTCATGGAGGGCAAAGGACTCCATTTTGGGCTTGTTGTTCCTTTTTTAATAGTGCAAACATAACTTTATATGCACTGGGAAACCGAACAAGTTCATTTGACTTGTTTTATGATAATGCTTTATTACTGTAGTCTAGAACTGAACCCCCATACAAGTATGCCTGTAAATGATTAGACATGGGGGAAGGTGAATTTAGGAGGGCTTCCTGGAGGGAGTGACTTTCAAGCCTGTCTCAGGAGAAATGAAGGAACTGTATTTGGTGACGAGGTGGCAGAACACTCCATGGAAATACACAAGATCAGTGAGTACCTGCCAGAGGCTCCTAGCAAACTAAACTGCTTTCTGGTCTGTGCAATGCCTGGGAGAATGAGTGATCAGTGACTTGACAAGGAAAAGAGCATCCACTTTTCGAGGGAGCATTGCTGGAAAGAAAGAGAACTTCTCCTGGCATCTGAGGAGCCCGGGCCCTGCTAGGCTGAGGCCCCAGCTGGGAACACACACAGGTCCCTTCATATGACAGCTGCATATGTCAGGAGTGATTGCTGCACTAAAGATGCGCTCCCAGAGCTGGAAGCATGGCAAGTCAACACGTCTAAACGGCAGAGCCCAGATCTTTCCCCACTCTGCTGGTCTGTTTTCAATAAACTGGAGATGGTGCTGAAGAGATGAGAGACGATCTGGCTGAGCAGGAAGACGCAATGAGCTGGGGAGCGATGACACTTGGCTCACATTTCAGATAAAGTGCACTGTTGCTATGTGGATGGCAGATGGGCTGTGTGAGGCACTGAAAAGATGTCTTACTTATCACGCTCTTTCCAGGACTTAGGACAGTGCCAGAAGCATGGTTGTTGAATTTACTAACAAGCATAACGCCCATCCTGGCAAGGTCTCCTCACCGGTATGCAGCACTAATATCACAGAGTAGTGATGACACATTAAAAAGTGGTGCTGGAACTGCACTTCCTTCCCTCTGTGGGAGCGGCGCTGGTCGGAGGACGAGGAGCTCCCACAGCAGTATTTTATTCCAGTTAGAAACAACTGCTGTGCACAGCTGTAGTAGGAAAGCCCAGAGGAACCCCGGAACAGGAGAACACTAGGCCCCTCTGGGGCCGTGCAGCAGTCAGGGGTTAGCTGGTGTAACTGGGAGCAGCTCAGGGCTCCGAGTCTAACAGAATCCCCAAGTCTCTCTAATGAAAAGACACTTTTATTTTCTTCAAAGCCTTATGCTCACTCACGGGCACAGTGGTTCCAGGCAGATGAGGTGGTGACATGAATTGTTTGGGGATCGAGGAGCTGACCATTGGAAGGGATACAGAAGAGGCACGTGGTGCAGGTGCCTACAGGAAGCCCCATGGATTTTGGAGAGAGGGAGGGGCAGCCTCACTGGTCTTCTCAGAAGTGACTGATACGTTGCAGGCTTGAGGCAGCTTTATTGGTCTCATTCTCGTTTATCCGTTGTTGGATCTGAGCCTGTCCCGCACGCACCTGCAGGACTGCGCACTCAGTGCCTCCCATTATACCTGTGCTGGGGGGCGCTGCCTCACTGCCAGGTGGTTGGTCTTCACTTAAGGGACCATAAGCACTTCGGGGATGGCCCGAGGGCCCTGTGCTGTGGTCAGGAGCCCCTGGGTTTTCACCTTCTAGAGTCCAGGCGGAGCCGGCTGTGACCACTGCCCTGCACGGAGTACGGCGCTCAGACCATCCTGAGCTCTGTGCACGCTCTGTCTCATGTAATCCCCACAACCCCCTTTTGAGATGGGTGCTACACGTACAGGTGAAGATAACGGCAGCTTTCAAGAGCTGAGTAACTAAAGGATACGTGGCTGTTAAACAGGGGACTGAAGATTTCAATCCAGGCAGATCTGAGGAAGCCTGTCCTGAGTTCCTGATAAATACTGAGGTCTATTATGTTCAAAACACTGCATCCGAAGTGGTAGGGATCTCAAGACAGCCGCACACAAATCCCTAACCCCCAGGAGGGAGAGAAGACCTCAGAGTGAAATCAAACTAGAACACAACACAGACACGTTAGAGAGGAAGCACACTAGGGTGGAGGGCGTGGTCAAGATGTCAGAACAAAGAACCCTGGAGACGGGGGCGGTTCAGGAGAGACCCATGGAGGAGCAAGAGGCCCAGGCAGGACTCCTTCCAGAAGATGAGGCGAGGACTGCAGTATGGGAGATGGCCCAAAGGCATGGGTGTGGGCTGGGCTCGGTGGGTCTGGGTGACAGCAAGGGGGACAGTGTGACCAGGGTTAATCTCAGGGGGGACAATGGGGAAGAACTCTGGATCGAAAAATGCAAGGAACCAGAGGGAGAAGGCCTGGGAATTTGTTTTTCTTTCTGTAGGTAATAAGGGACTAGTGAAGTTTCTGTTAGAATCATATATTATATTGTTTTAGGAGTTACTTGCAGAAATGCTGATGGATTGTAGGGGGAGACCCCTGGAAGCCGGCCAGGAGGGTGCTGCAGCCTCCAGAGAGGACAGAACTCAGAAACCCAGGATCTAGGCTTTCAGGGTGATTGAATGGGGGATGCGACGGTGATTAAGTGTCAGAAGGGAGGGCGGTGTGATTGCACAGAGCTGCTGGAGCTAAATCATTCCCACTTAGAGTGTCTAGACTAGCCCGGGGCCTTGGGCTTTGTGCACAGGAAATTTACAACTAATTAATTTACTTACATTCCTCTTTGCAATTTGATTATTTCAAGGATGTTAAACAAGTATTGCCTCTTTTGACCTCACAGGCATCTAAGTCCATTTTTTTAGAGAACCTCTTCTAATTGGAATAGTTGCTTATGATCTCAGAAGGAAGGCTGTCAAGGTACCTGCCCTCTCAGCTACACCACTTAGCTCAACAAAACTGGGGCCAATGGCTGCCATCGCTCATAACTTTGCAGGACCATAATTCCCTTTGACAATCTGAAACAGTCTCAGGGGACTGGCCATTCCCTGAAATCCATCATGACTCCAGATTAGAAACCCGAAGGATTGAGGAATAGAGATGAATTGAGCAGAAAATATTTTTTTTAGAAAAAGTAAGATATAATCTTTAAAAAAAAGTCAAATAAAGACATGGAAACTCCCCAAAGAGAATGACTTATTTTAGGAATTCATTTCTTCTTTTCCTTAAACATGCAGCTCAGGAATCCTGGCTTTCTCTTGTGTTCAGGGTTTTCCTGGGCAGCCTGGCCCTTGCATGAAGGCTCATCCCCACCTGTGTCCCCAGTTCTTGAAAAGCAAAGCCTGGAATGAGGTCCTGCCCGGTGACTGATGGGCTCCAGTTGGTGCAGGCAAAAGTTTAGGGCTGTAGGGCTGTTTGGAAGGATGGGACAGAATGTCTTGTGAGATGTCATGTCCAGAACCTGGTTCTGGGAAGAAAACAAGCATTCCTGAGAAAATGCTCAAAGTGGTTTTTTGGAAACTATAATGGGAGTAAGACTTGTTCAGGGAAAATTAATTACCCACCCACCAGCTGGCTGGCTGTCAGTCAAGAGTCTAGTGACCTTCAAGAGAACATTCTTTTTGGAACGAGTCCAGCGATGATTATCTAACCATTCTCTTCTCCTGATGATTTTCCTACCAAGAAGGCATCTTTGGACTGGCCTGTTGGGGGTGTGTCTTTGTAGCAAGATTATAACAAATCTTTGATCTCATAACCAACTGTAGGACTGACACACTCCTCGCTGCCTGTCCGTCGCCCTTGGAATCACCTCGGCAGCCCCCTTTGGTCCCCCTCCCTCTGCAGTTCAGCATGTTAAATGTCCCTGCGCTACTGTCTTCTCTCTCCAACTCAATAGTGAGCATTTTTTTTAAACAAAGGTACTGTGTCCTAGTTGACTTCTTTCATCTTCCAATTTTTTTCCCCGTCTTCGTCTCTGACTGCTGACTCCTCCAGGGTCTGACACAGGCTGATGCATACACGGGACTCAATATACGGCGGGCCACGGCCTGTTTATTCCCTTGGAGGTGCTGGAAAGTGAGCCAGGGTGTGTCCCGGGTCACTTGGGCCTGGCAAGGTGACACAACCTGCCAGGACCTGGGTTCCCTGGGCCATGGACCAGAGCCACAAGCCAGAGTCCCAGTCCCAGAGCTGTGAATCTAGAGCCGCAAAAGAAAGCCCCCAGCCCAGAGCCTGACACAAGGTCGGGATATACAGCATCAGCTTTTACGGTTAGGGGCGCTGGATATGGTTTGCCCCCTTAACGGCAGGCAAGGCAGGCTTCTCTGTTCCTGTAGTTTGCTATCCCAAAACCTTCACTTTACAGGTATGTTAACTAACATTTGGAATTTCGCAATCATAGGCCTCGGTCAAGAAGAAATGGGTCCACCACGTGCCGACGGTCCTCAAGGCCAGCCTCTGGCCCACCACTGCTCTGGCTCTCAGGAGTTGCTCAGAGTTCCCACTGGGCTCAGATCTGGGCTCTACCCCCACTTTGTGGGGGACCTCAGTGAGTCATTGAATCTTTCTGAGTCTCATTTGTGAAAGGTAAGCTTGCCCATGTTTCGTATTGATATGGGCACTTGTGAGTGTCAGTTTCTCAAATTGTAAAATGAAAATGATGATAAAATTAATGGATTATGTAACCACCTTGTGCTTTATAATTTTTAAAGTTCTTGAGTGTGGGGCGAGTTGTTTTGAGACTGAATGCCAAAATTTCGGAACCATCTTGGCTTGAAACAGAGACAGAAGGGCTATTCTAAGTCCAGTGGTATTTTGCTCCCTTAAATTTACAGTGTGAAAGTGGCATTTGCGACAGTCTTGCTTCTGGAAGAAACAGCTTTGATGGCTCTTCTTTTTGTTTAGATGAATATAAGCCTGGTAGTAGCTGTTATTTATTTTTTTTAAGACTTTCTCTGAAGGGTGTTGAAACACCAAGTGCAAAAATTTTAGCTGGCCATTTTAATATTTTTAAACATGGAAAATTATATATAGTAGGAATGGGTAGAGGGAAAGAATATAGCTTTATAAAAATAACTATTTGTTTTTCACTCTGTACTGTTTTACTGTTGGAGGTGTGTTAAATTTAAGGAACCAGTAAAATGAAACTAAGACTACCCATCTCACAGGATTACTATTCACCCAGTGTCTGTGCCTAGCAAGGTGCTGCACGAGTTGCTATACGGTTACTAGCATAGTGAGCTGGGCACCCATTCATCACCTGCCCAGGCTTGGGCGCTGCAGGACAGGGTGTCCAGGGCGCAGAGGGTTGTGGGTGCCGTGGGTGGTGTGAGGGGCTGGTGTGAGGCTGGGGAGCATGGCCTCAATGCCCAGGCAGGGCAAGGAGACTGCCTAGAAGCTGCCCGAGGCGCTGGGGGCCCACTCAGTGCCCCTCTGCTCACCGCCCCACCAGCCCTCCTGGGTCACAGGCCAACTGCCTTCAGTCCAGTGTCTGACCCTCAGAACCCGAGGCCCTGTCCTCTCTGCTTTCCATCGGGTCCCCGTCCCCATGTTTTGGGGCCTTTAGCACAAGAGTTGGTGAAGCCCTCTCTTCTCCTCTCAGCTCACATGCTGCCCTCCCCCAGACACAGGGCTCCCCCCACATGGAGTCTTTCTCCCCCTCATGGAACAAGCCTGCGAAGAATGTGGCAGACAGAGCAGCTGCGGAAGGGCCCCTCCCACTTCCAGCGCGGAAGTGCTTGGTAACACATTTTTAAAACTTTATTTAAATATATAGCTGAGCTGTATATTTAAAGAAACTATATGTTAAAGAAAGAGAAGAAAATGCTCAGGTGCCAGAAAAGAAGAGGACCGGAAAGCTTGAGTGGCAGATGGGAGCTGATGCTAGAATAGTGGGGGCGGGGGTGGGGGGAGAAGATCGGGAAGGGGGTAGGGGGAAAGAGCAAGGGGGATGGGAAAGGGGAGTTAGAGATTTAGAGAACATTAAATAATGTAGAAAAGACTATGAAGTAAACATCTTTAAAAGTATCACAAACCTGAGTGTTTACTGTGGGCCAAGCATTGCGATAAGCAAGCACTTTATGTGTCCTACCCTCCCCCGCAGTGTCCTACCCTCCCCACCAGTGTCCTACCCTCCCTTGCAGTGTCCTACCCTCCCCACCAGTCCAGAGAACCAGAGACTACTGCTGTCAATCCCGAGCTAGGTTGTGCAGATGAGAAAGCAAAGGCACGTCTTGCTGAACCGCGGCCACAGTGAAGAAATGGGGGGTGATGGGGGCACAGCCTCATCGCAACGCTCACCTCCTAACCATTAAGACCAAGACTGACGCTGTCCCCCTAAATCTTGTTTCCCCATCCTCCCAGTGATGGGATTATGCTGCCCGGGGCTGCCTGGCTACCGTCCATTTCCCAGCCCCGCTATAGTTAGGTGTGGCCATGTGGCTTGCTCAGAGGCCTCCCGTGGAACATGGGCAGACGTGGTGCGTCCCACTGCCCGGCTGGCACCTCACATCAGTGGGGGTTTCTCCCCCGGGCCTCTTTGCCTTTCACACGGCTGCGACTCACAAGTGGTGCCCCAGCTTCCACCACGCACATGCAGACAGTGCCCTGGGAATGACGCGCGGGAGGACAGGAGGAATCCTGGTTCTGTGGCTGCGTGGGCCAGACCCACCCACTAGCTTCCACTGCTACACGGAAGAGGAAAACCTTCTATTTCCTTTAAGCTTGAAGGTGCTTTGTCTGGTACTGCGTTAGTCCCTCTTGAAACCGAGCCGTGTTGGTCGGGAATCAGCCCCAGATCAGTGATCTGACAGGCGGCCACCCCCGCCCCATAAGACGGTTGTATTCCGTGTACACTTCTGGTAGAAGGCACAGGGACCTTAGGACAGGAACTGGTCAGAATGGAAAAGAATAGGTGGGTTTAAAACGGGCTCAACAGGTTTTAGAGGGGCAGCCATAGCGACAAATCCTTGCACCAGCCACGTTTTGGGAGGCGTTTCCGAGGCGCCTGCTGGGAAGGGGCAGGATGGGCAGCCAGAAGCAGGGGGGTTGGGGTGTTCCAGGGCTCCTGCGGGAGGCTGAGCACAAGGAGGGAGAGTCAGGGGGGTGGACCCCGGTGGACCCGCGGCGGGAGAGCGAAGGGACGGACGGGCCTTGTCGGAAAAGCGCTGCTCCGGGGCCAGCGCCCGTCCTGGGCCCGCTGCCTCGGCGGGCTGCTCCTCAGGCCTGCCGTCTGCTGGAGGCTGGAATCCCCCCCCGCCCCCCAGGCCCTGCTGCCTCCCCGTCCGATCCCCGCGGGCGGCCGTCCTCCCTCCCCAGCGGCCAGGCTGGGAGGCCCCGGGCGCGCCCCAGCACAGCAGCTGCGAACAAGGCCCTCCCTCCTCCGCTCGCGGGCCCGGCCGCCGCTGCCCCGGACGGGGCCGGTGAGAGCGGCCAGACGCCGCCCAGGCCGCACGGGGGGATGCGCTCTCCGACGTGGGGGTCCCTCTCCTCCTCCTGGGGGCCTTGCCAGCCTCCGGGCGGCTCCAGGACGTCCTGGCGGCAGTGGCCGGCGCCTTGATGGCGGGCTTCCAGCCTCCGGAATTGTGAACATTTTCTGTTCATGCCTTAGCACCTTCCCCGTGCGTCTGCTACAGCGGCCCGAACTGACTAGGATGGTCTCACGCCTGTTCTCGGCCTCTCGGCGCTGCCCGCGTCCCCGCGTCCGGCCTCCGTCTGAAACACCCTCAGACCCTCCGAGGTGCTCCTGGGGGACCGAGCGCCACAGGGGCCTGGCGGGGGGCACCAGCGTGGGGTGAGCAGGAGGCCTGCTTTGCTCGGACGGAGGGGTCCCCGGCACTCTGGGCCGTCAGCACTGAACCTGGGAGGGTCCCAGGGACTCTGGATGGGGTCCCCTGTCCGGACACGACAGCACACACGCAGGAGCGCGATGCCCGCACTCCGAGAAGGGCCCAGGGCGACTGGGGGACTCACTCTGGGGCTGCGGTGAGTGGAGCAAAGCAAGGTCGCCAGGCTGGACTCAGTTTTCTCTGGTTCTCACACTTCTTTTCCTGAATGTAGAGCCGAGGGTAAGAAACTGGGCAGCGGGAGAAGCCACACATCCAGGCTGTGGCAGTGACTACCGACACAGCCGCCTTCTCTGCCCATTTCCCAGACAAATTCCTAAATTCTAGTCCCTTAAGTGACCATATAATTAATCCCCAGAAACCCTAGTTCAGGCCAACGCGGCATTTGAGACAAAGAAATTCAGACATAGGGAGTCTATGCCGGCCCCGGGTTCCACCGAGTGTTGAGATCCGTCTGTTTCCTCCTTAGGATCCGATTCCATATTATGCCGGGAGAGGGGTCTGGCCCGGGCTGCTGCAGGGCCACGCGTGCTCTTTCTTGTTTATCCGTTTGGAGCCGGGATAGCGTGTGTGTTGCGAGCACCGAGTGGAGGGAGGGTGTGTGTGTACGGCGAGCTGTGCGCCTGGGTTAGCTTGTGCCAGCGCAGGAGAGACAACTGTTAAATTTTTCAGGAAGCCCGAGAGCCTGTTATTGGAAATTAAACAAACTCAGCAATTATTAAAATTATGTTCTACCAACTAACAATTAAATTGTATTAAAACAAAGGCAATACATACTTAAAACTCATCACCTCCTAATTATTCTACTACTGTCTCTGTTCTCAAGATTATACGTGTTTCTTCTATCTGGGTGGCAGAAATGCTCTCTGGCGGAATGCCACTGGGCATCTCCCCCCACCCCGTGCTCAGCGGCGTCAGGATGGCACCCGAAATCAGCCACGTGAAGTGCTTGTAACACAGACCTCAGCAGACATCACACAACAGCCTCCCACCTTCTGAGAACCAGTTGCTAAGCATATATCGATCAGCACATCACTGTATAAAGTTTTCACTTATTGCAGCCTCACTATGTGCAAGACATAGTTCCCACAGCTTTATAAACGTTTGTCATTCATTCAACCAGCGCCCACTCATTACCTACGCCATTCATTACCTATTCACACAATATGCCAGATTCATTATTACTATTACGACTATTATTACATAATATTTATTGAGCACTTACTGTGTGCCTGGCATTTGTCTAAGTACTTTATGCATATTAGCTGCTTAATCCTTGGAATAGCCCTTTGAGCGAGGTTTTATTATTACCCTCATTTCACAGATAAGAACGCTGGAGAACTGAGAAGCTGGATCATTTCTGCAGGCTCCCCCAGCGAGTCGTTTGCAGGTCCATATTGGAACCCCAGCACCGGGCTTGGGAGCCCCAGCTCTTAACCACTGAGCTCTCCTGCCTCCTGTTGCCTCTGAGCACCATGGCTACAGCTGTGAACAGGCGAAGCCCCCACCACCACCACGGGACTTACATCCTGGCAGGTGGGCAGATAGATATGGAATGATAAACACGTATTATGTTGATGTCAGATGGCGATATGTGTTGTGGATAAAAATAAAGCAGGGTAAAGTAAGAGAACTCTGAGGCAGAGAGGGAACAATACCTCATGTATCTGATTTTTAATCTAACACTATCCCCATTTTACAGATGAGGTAATTGGGGCTCGGCGGGGTTAAAACAGAATCTAAGGCTGCACAGCTAACGAGATAGATCCGGAGTCACATCTACAAAGCCTGGTTCCCCAGCTGTGCATCTTCCCCTTCTTTGCTGCCTCCCTCCGCTTCCTCAAGCTCCCAGCCTTTGAGCCCCTTGCAAGGTCCTTAGTTCAAGTCTAAGTCTCCGGGACAAACTCAGCTCAGCTGGGATCTGCCCTGTGCCCATCCTCCTTTATGTCTCTGTCACCCGAAGCTGTGTGAGAGGACAAACAAGTGTCCAGCTCACAATGATGCTGAAAGCTGGCACGCTGGAGCCCCTGAGAAGCGTGCAGGCGTGAATGCAGCATCTGCCACGTGGAACTCACCACACGGCCCTTCTCCACGTTGGTCACCAAGGGGGTTTTGTCTGTGAAAACAGACTTATTGTGGCTAATATAGGTCACAGGTGGAAAGGCTGGAGACTGACAAAGAGTTTAAGTGGATTCCAGTAGCACTCAAAACAAGCTCAGAGAATAAGCATTGTGGGGACTTATGGGAACTGCTCTTTGAAGCACCCCACATTGCCCACTGGAAATACTGTATTTAATGTCAACTCAGTTTGACCTTTAGTTTTGGTGGCATTTTCTAATTCTATGAAAGCAGCTATTTCTCACTTCCCCTGAAGTTTAATAGAAAATCAGACAATTAGTTAAACCCAGCCCAGCCCTTGCAGAAGGGAGAGACTCCCCACAACCCGAAAATAAATATAGGACAACTGCCGTTATTTTTGTTCATTTAAATTTCTGACACCAGGGGAATCAAAAGAAAGTGAAGTTTTAATAATAGTTCAGAACATTAGTTTGACATCTTTGGGAAGCCAAGAGAAGCCAGATCTCTCAAAGCGGGCCTGAATCTCGGGCAGAAGAAAGCTCTATTGTTACAAATATTTCAGGGTCTGCAATCACTAGGTGACAGCTACTATGTATTAGTTTTTCATTGCTGTTGTAATCATCACAAACTTAGCAGTTTAAAACAACACCCATCTATTATCTCACAGTTTAGGCAAAAGCCCAAGTAGGCTCAGATGGATTCTCTGCTCATGAGCTCACAATGCCAAAACCAACGTGTTGACCAGATTGGGCTCTTGTCCAAGGCTCTGGGGGAGAATCTGCTTCCAGCCAGGCTCATTCAGGTCAGGGGCAGAATACAAGAAATACTTATCGTAGCAGGACTGAGGTCCCAGCATCCTTGCTGACTCTCGGAGGTTGTTTTCCCTTGTAGAGGCCCCCTGTATTCCCTGGCTCATAGGTACCTGGACCCCCATGGCCACTGCAGCATTATTCAAATAGCCAAGATGTGGAAGCAACATAAGTGCCCAGCGATGGACAAATGGATAAAAAAAGAGGTGGTATACAGACACAATGGAATATTACTCTGCCATGAAAAAGAATGAAGTCTCCCCATTTGCAATGACACGGATGGACCTAGAGGGTATTATGTTGAGTGAAATAAGTCAGACACAGAAAGGCAAATACTGTATGATTCCACTTAGATGTGGAATCTAAAAACAAAAACAAAAAAAGAACACACAGTTTTAAGTAAAGGTGGTTAGGTAAGGCCTCACCAGGAAGGTGACATTGGAGCAGAGACCTGAAGGGGAGGCAGGAATGTCAATTAAATGCAGGAGGTAGTTAGAAATGTGGGCTCTGTCTGTGTGAACACAGTTTTTTTCAAAAATTTTTTAAGCCATGAAACTAGATAAGTTCTCCAACTGTAAATGTAGACACAGAATAGAGGAGAGCTGAGGTTTGAATTCCAAGACTCTGCACAGTTAGAGGTCAAGATGACCAAGAGGACCAGCAGCCAGTGGGACAGGGTGACACTGAGAGTGGAATGGTCTAAGGAAGTGTTTTGAGCTGAAGGGCTTGTTCCTGTCTGTCAGAGCTGCTGCTGATGGGTGAAGTAAGGTGAGAATGAACAGTTGACCATTGGGTTGAACAGTTTGGAGGCCCCTGTTTTCTGAGTCATGGGAGCAATATTCTGATTGGAGTCTCTCAACAGAAAATGGGAGGGGAGGATTTGGCGACAGCAATAAGAAGAAACTACTCTAGAGTTCTGAAGAGGTTCAGACAAGTGTGGAAGTACCTGGAGGGGCATGAGTGGTTAAGAGATTGTTTTTTAAAGATCAGACAGCATGTTTGCATGCTGTGGAAATGAGAAAGTAGGCAGGAAAAATTGATGATGCAGGAGAGAGAATGGTGAAAAGACATGGGATCTGGAGGAGGGGCTGACCTGGGATCATAGGACAGATACGTATCCATGGCAGCAGGAAACAAGGCAGGACATGCTGGCACAGATGCTGGCAGGTGCATAGCTGGAAGTGTGTGGTTGTGCCCTTCTGGTGGCTTCTGTTTTCTCAGGGAAATAGGAAGGAAGGTCATCAGGGAAAGGTGAAGGAAGAAAGAGATGAAAGGAATAATCCTCTCTCAGTGCAGCCATTGGTAAACAGGATCTGAGACCCAAAAGATGCCAGGAAGGAATCTAGAATCCAGCTGCCATCCCACCCCATGCGGTGATTGTCCCCTCATTGCTGAACACTGGGGAGATCCAAGATTGATCTGCAGGAAGGCAGCTGGTGATAATCCTTACAGCTATCCCTTCTTCAGCATCCAGCTTGTGCCTGGTGGTGTGCCAGATGGTCTTGAATCAGTCACCTACAGCAGCACACATAACGACCCACAGCCTTAGGGACTACTGTCCTCACTACTTTGCTCATTTTATAGAAAAGAAAACTGTAATTCAGAGTGTTTCAATAATTCATTCAACTTCTTTCAATTAGTGTATCAGTTATGATCAGATGTGGCTGCATGTAACAGGGAGCCAAATTAACAGTCGATTCAGTAAGACAGAATTTTTTCCTCTCGTGAAAATCCAGAAATAGGCCAATCAGGGGTGGCTTGGTGGCTCTGCTTCCTAAGGTCCTTGGGACCCAGGCTCTTTGATTCTTTCTTGCTTCGAATGTGTTTCATTTCCTGCATCACCTCGTGGTCCAAGATGGCTGCTGTGGCTCCAGTCAGTATGTGCTGCAAGAAGAAGGGGTAGATGAAGGTAGGGAAAAGGGCACATGCTAGTTGCCATTGAGGATAGTTTCTAGAAACTTCCATTTGATATTCTGTTTACATTCTATTGTCCTGAAATATGGCCATGAATGATGCAGAGAAATTTAAATTTTATTTTGGGTGGCACAGTCCCAGCTAAATTCCATTAAAATATCCTAAAAGGAGATTTGATATTGGGAGGCAGCTTGTGTTCTCTGTCGCTGATGTTGCATTGAACAGCCTAAATTCCTAATTCCTCCCTCCAGTCACTTGTGTCATTGTTGCTATTCATTTCACTTAAATATAGGTTATAATCATCAAATACATTGTTTCTATTATATTTTGATCTGTTGGGTCATTTATTAAATATTTTTATTTTACCTTTACCTGTTCCTTCTCTAATGTTCTTGCTTTCTTATGTAGATGTGAATTTCTGACCTATATAACTTTCCTTGTTTTTGAAGAACTTTTTCTCTATCTTTATTGAGGCATAATTGACAAATAAAACTGTAATATATTTATAGCGTACAACACGATGATTTGATACATATATACATTTTGAAAGGACTCCCACAATCAAATTGATTAACATATCCATCAGCTCACATAGTTATCTCTTTTTGAGAATCTGGGAGAGCTCATAGAGGTAAAATTCACAGAAGTGTGGGGCCCCCATATGAATGGACCCCCCCTGGAAATTTAGCTCTCAGCCTTGTCCACACTGAGCATCTGTAATTTGTCACTTGTAGTTTAGGTTTTCCCCTCCTGTTGCTAGTTTCCACAGAGATTTCTGCTTCTGCCTGTGGGTTTCTGCCCTGTTAAGTTGTGATGTTCCCTATCCACCTGTCTGTCTCTCCGACATTGAGGGCACCTGTTTGCCCTCTGACCTCCTTTCCCTGATGAATCTGAGAATTGTTGCCCTTTTTTAGTTTGTTCAGCTTTTTATTTGTTAAGACAGAGTGACAACTTCCAAGCTCCTTACATGCCAGAAACCAGAAGTCCCATTATTTTTCCATGTAATCCTCAGCATAGCTCTGGAAAGTGAATATTGTTTGCTCAGTTTCAAAGATTAAAAAACAAAACAAAACGGGCTGAGAAAGGTTCAGGGACTTGTCTAAGGGCATGTTGCTTGGAAGTGTCAGAACTGGGATCAAACTCCCGTCTCACTCCTCCGGGGTGGCCACGGTCCTTCCCCGGCGCTGGCCGCCTCTGCTCATGCAGAGCTCTGCAGACTCGTGCTGCATTTAACTGATTTGTGCTGGCGCTCATCTTGAAGCTCCTTGAATGAGAACTTGGGTGTTTTAACCTGGTTTTGTAAATTGGTAGGACTTCTGGGGAAATTTAGCTTTTGATCATTCAGTGGTCTATTACCTAATTCCTTTTTAACCTATGACTTTTGCTTCTCCTTAGGGAAAGAAAAGGAATGGAAAGTGCAATATGCTCACTCTATTACTTGCTGTTAGCTCCAGTGAAATGATCTAGGGTGGCATAATTTGAAAGGGAGAAAATGTAGCTGTAGGAATACCTGTGATTCCCATTAATTTGTGCAGAAAGGAAAGATGGATTGAGCTGCAAGGCCAGAGTTTGAGTTGAGTCTTGCCTGGGTTTGCCCCTTGGTCCGTGAGCAAGCTGGAGCCTCAGGGTCCTCATCTGCTAGAGATAACTGCTCTCATGTTTGCATCATGGTCCAATGAAAAAGCATCCGTCAGCAGTCACGGAACAGTTCTGCGCCCAGCACTATGGTAGCTA